CCATTACATGGCAGCATCGAGCATCGATCGTCTGCGCAGAAATCATTGCGCAGGAATCTAAATGAGATAGATTCCAGCTTCTTGCGGCTAAGAGCATTATGAGTGATATGAATTCGGTCGAGATAAAAAAATTATGTTCTGATACACATTACTAATACTGAAAATTGATATTTATTTACATTATACACAATAGATATTATTATTATTAAACAAAATATGTATAAAACGTTACTATCCCCCAGCAAAATATTAAAATCTAATCAACCCATACAGCACAGAACGTTGCAGCAACATTGCAACATTGTAGTAACATTGCTGCAACGTTCTGTGCTGTATGGGTTGATTAGATTTTAATATTTTGCTGGGGGATAGTAACGTTTTATACATATTTTGTTTAATAATAATAATATCTATTGTGTATAATGTAAATAAATATCAATTTTCAGTATTAGTAATACTGTGTATCAGAACATAATTTTTTTTATCTCGACCGAATTCATATTACTCATCATGCTATTAGCCGCAAGAAGCTGGAATCTATTTCATTCAGATTCCTGCGCAATGATTTCTGCGCAGACGCTCGATGCTCGATGCTGCCATGTAAAGGTGCCATTACATGGCAGCATCGAGCATCGATCGTCTGCGCAGAAATCATTGCGCAGGAATCTAAATGAGATAGATTCCAGCTTCTTGCGGCTAAGAGCATTATGGTGATATGAATTCGGTCGAGATAAAAAAAATTATGTTCTGATACACATTACTAATACTGAAAATTGATATTTATTTACATTATACACAATAGATATTATTATTATTAAACAAAATATGTATAAAACGTTACTATCCCCCAGCAAAATATTAAAATCTAATCAACCCATACAGCACAGAACGTTGCAGCAACATTGCAACATTGTAGTAACATTGCGGCAATGTTATAATGTTGCTGCAATGTTGCTGCAACGTTCTGTGCTGTATGGGAAGGATTATGGGATATAATTTTCATTTTTTTTCCTGCATGTTTATAACATACTGCTCCTTTAAATCATTTCCTACTTTTAACAATAGTTTTTCAAACTGTGTCGTTTTGTCATTTGTGAATCCCTTTTTGTGTCTTATTTATTTGAATATTTCAACCATCCAAAATCTTTTGCCGCATTTGTATTTTAATTTAATTTTAATTTACATTGCCAGAGTAGTAACGTTTCATAATATATCTTTGATTAATAATAACACACACACACACACACACACATCTGTTATATAATAAATAAATAAAATATAATTCTGAGCAACAATATTCTGCGCAAACGCTTAACGCTCGACGCTTGAGTGTCGGTCTACAATAGTGATTTAAGCTCTAAGCCTTAAGAAATTGACTAATCACAGTCGAGTATTCTCCTCATACTTGACTGTGATGCATGTAGCGTAGCGAAAGAGTACGCTACGCTACATGCGAGCGAGAGAGAACGCAAGCGACACGGAACAGAGTATGTCCTTTTCTACGTGTATCTCTACCCCCACTCCTTAAATAAAGGCAAACGTTCGGTCTAGATATACTATGTCTATGGTGACACCAGTATATGTACAAGGTACAAGGCAGCGATCATGTAATTTTTTCCTCTAATTAAGATTTTACAAAACATAATACAGATCACAATATAGTATGATCAAGCTGTTGAACGATGTCCGATCTTCAACTTTCAGTTTCAATAATTTCTCTTTGATAATCTGATACCTGTTTAAGCTGCTTCTAAGTGGAATATTTTATTGGATAGTTCTTTTTGCTTGCACTTTTTTGAACTTTTAATTGAAATGAAATGGATATATAGTTGAGTGTTAAAGAGTGAGTAAACAAGGAATCTAAGTGTAGAAAGTGCAAATAAAACGGACAGATCTTTTTTAGCTAAAACAGGAAACCAAATAAAGAGTAAGTGACATTTAATAATCTTAAAGAAGAATAATCATTGAAAAATTGCCTAAAAAAATTTTGTTAGTAGTTGTATCTGTGTGCTATATGATATTAATCTCACTAGAAAACACACGAAGTGTTATCTCTCATTTGACAAGCTGTCAATATCTTAAATGTAAAGCATTGTGCATCATTTGAAGGAATTTAACAGAATGTTATTTAGAAATAATATTGTATTCCTTATTTCTGTATATGTGTAATTAAAATAGACAATTATTTAAACATAGTAGTATCTAATATTTTTCAAAGGTTATTCTTAACATTATGCGAAGAATATATATTCTTATATATTTCGAATATAAAAATTAATGTATTTTTTCAGTTATTGGAGATGATTATATCAGAATAATATGCAATACGTAATATTAACAACAAGGCTACTAGTAGAACAATATTAAAATATTGAAATCAAAAAAGAAGTAAATTAAAACAGACATAATATAATATTACAATATAAAAGAGGATACATGTATTTAGTAATTAAATACAAAATATTACATATATGCTAGTGTGTTGAACCTGCTTTATATCTGTACAAAGGTACCGGTATTGTATTATCTTTACGTATTTGTTATAATGATTTTCTTGCATAACATAATAGGAAATATCAGTTAAGTATATAACAAAAGTATAACAGAGTATGACAAAGAGAGATAAACTACATAACTAATATTTATTTATTTTATTTATTTTATTATGTCAAACACAGATAGATTTCATATTAGTTCATATATTTACATTATGCATTATATTGATACATATCATTATATGATATTTATATGTAAAAAATACATTATTTATATCATTTTTAACGTGTGTATATCAATTATATTGAGTGTATATTAATTTTGAGTGTATATCATTACAAGAAAGGATTAATCAATGATTAAAAAATTTTATATTGTAATAAAATATGTTATAATATATTTCTATAACAAATGTAAATTAATCAAGCTATATTTTACAGTATAAAGTTTTGTACTTTATCTAAAGTATCTAACAAAAATTGTAAAGCATTAATAATTATTTATAAACTTAGTGGACATTATTTTAATTAATTATATTTTTTATTCAAGTAAAAACACTTAAATGTAGAGAAATCTATTTATGTTTTCGATTATATTTATGTTTTATGCTACAATGAAATTAATTTATTTGTTTAACTGTTTAGCTGTTACATTTTTAGAAAAATATATAAAGGATAATGTACTTGTAGAAAAGAAGTTGTTTTTCTGATTATTTTACTTTAACAAAAGCAAAGTATTTTGTGGAAAAAAACTATTATCTATAGTTTTGTCCTTAAAAGATATAATCCATTTATAACTATATTTATTTTGCTTTCTATCAAATTTAATAACTTGTGTTTAGATGCTATCAACATAAGTATTAGTTTTAAAGATAATAATATATTTAAGGAAATAGATGTAAGAGTTACTTGGCAAAATTATAATTAATCTTTCATTAAATTTTGTTTTCAACAAGTTTCAAACAGGTACAAACAAAAAAAAAATTTATTGTAAATTTACAAGAACTTGCTCTTTACAAAACAAATCAGTGTTAATAGTTATGTCTATTAGACAAATAGTCAGAAAAATAACTTAATTAATGTTTTCTAAAAATATATTTAAAAACTATCACTGATGGGAGAAATAACAATATTAGAAAAAAAATACATTTATAATATATTTGTATAATATATATAATATATAATATATCGTCGCCATTATGCCAAAACCACGAATGTGCAATTTTGTAGTTCTGAGTTATTGCAATGTTGAAAATTTAATTTGCTCCAAAAAATCATGTTCTAGTTTTATTTTTATAATTATTTTCATGAATTGATACCTCAAGTTTGATGTACTATTATTATCGCATTTGTGTCTCTGGCATAGAATCTTTGTTTAAAATTGGGTAAAGAAATGACATTAGAAAAATTTGTGGTTTTGGCATTCGGACGACGATATTTAATCATAGATATAAAACTAAAAATATATTATATTTTTAATTCCATTCCAAAAATATCTATTACTTTTCTTGTTATTTTTTCAGTATGTTATTAATATATGAAACAAAATAAAGTTTTACAATGTAGTTATGCCTGTATCAAAGAATTATTTGAAAAAAATAACAGAAACTTTAAATTATTTTTATGGCTAAGTAGCTGCAATTTAGCACTAGTAATTAGTACTAGTTTAGCACTAGTTTAGCATTAGTAAAAAATGGTATCTTTTAAATATATTCAAATATATTTAAATGTGTTTTTTAATATACATTTTTGAAATTGATGATTTAATCTTTAGAATAATAGCAACAATTTAATATAATTTTTTAAAATATTTAATTTTGTTGACAAAAAAGCTGTACAGTCAATTCAGAATCTGGCATATGCAATATTGTATGTGTGTGCGTGTGTTGGCAAAATGCTAGCAGAAATATAGTAAAGTTTGCCAATAGAAGATTGATGGTAGAAATCAAGCAAATTCCGGCTCACTTGCATTATAGTTTGACACAGATAGGAGGCAGAAATCTACATTGACAGACTGTGCTCGGTTTTTGTTACCAATCAGCTATTATATCGGCAATCTATTGTCAGCAGACTTTGACAATAGAACACAAGTTTAATGTGAACACAATTGATGCTAATCTGCAGTTTTTGTTCGAATCTGTGGCAAACCGTCATGTTGCTTTTATTTACTAGATTATATTATATATCTTTGTATATATTAAATTTAGAATATTTATATAGAGAATATCCCACTTTTCGTGCATCATTTCTTAATGATAAATTTTCTAGTTATGTTTGGAGTAGATTTTTCCTTAGTAGAAATATCAAGGCATCAATAATTTTTAAATGACTGAAAAAAGCGTTTTTATAAATTAAACACTAGAGAGTGTGCAGTAAATAGATTATAAAATTAGCTAATTTTTTAGCTAATTTTAAATGAGATATAATAAAATTTTAATTGCAAGCTTACAATTAACCATAAAAATATATAATGCTAAAGATTAGAAAACTGTGATAGATTTTTTACGAATATATAATATTATAAACTTAAATATATATAATATTATATATTAAACTTTTCTACATATAGTATGCTATACAGTGTTGTCAAAATGTGAAAAAAATTAAAAAATAATTTTAAAATATTTTATTTTTTTAAATATCAATTAACACAAAAATATATATAATTTTTTACTTATTTGAATATGCAGTAATTAATTTAGTAGTTATAATCTTTTCATATCTATAGAAGTTTTATAAAATAATGAGATTGTATTTATTTTGTGTGTTAGGTGTATTAGACAAACAAAAAAAGAGAGAGGATATTATTAATCAACTATATTCTGTGGATTACAAAGCCAATGATGTTTTCTTCAGGCCTTAATTGTAATCTCTCTTTCCCCAGTTGTTTGGGTTATCCACAAGATAGTGAGGAATTGATCCCAAAAATGGCACGTGAGCCAATCATTCTTAATGTTTATGATATGGTAAGTTACTGGTTTCAATATATTACAACAAATAAATTAAACACCATTAAGAATTGTTTAATGTTATTAGTTACCAATTTTTGTAAATTCAATTGTATATATCAATTAGTATGTTATAAGAAATTTAATTCAACATATATATTCTGTTGCAGTATTGGATAAATGAATATACTACACCTATCGGTCTCGGTGTGTTTCATTCAGGAGTGGAAATATATGGAACAGGTATGTATTCAAAAAATTACGGATTATGAAACAAAGATTTGAAATGTATTTCTGCTACAGAATATGCATATGGGGGTCATGCTCAACCAAGAAGTGGCATTTTTGAAATCACACCAAGGGTAGCTGAAGAATTAGGCGAACAATTTAGATATAGGTGCAGTTTGTATTTTTTATTTTTTATATAAAGATACACTCTTTAAAAGATAAGCGCTCTAGTGTATCACATGTGGTCAATCTTTCTGTAATGCCATCCTTTATGTTATAGACAATCTGTTCATATTGGATATACAGATTTCACAGAAGAAGATGTTTCAAGAATTATTACAGAGTTAGGCAAAGATTTTAGAGGGGACCGTTATCATTTGATGAATAAAAACTGTAATCATTTCAGCAGTCAGTTCACATTGGTATATTACTTTCTTTAACAACACTAATGAATATATAGTATAGATAATATAATAAAAAACAATATATGTTTTAGATTTTATGTGGACAAGAAATACCTGGTTGGGTAAATCGTCTAGCATATTTCAGTTCATGTGTACCATTTCTTCAACGTTGTTTACCAAAGGAATGGCTAACGCCTGATGCTTTGCAACACTCTCTTAGTCAAATTAGTCATCACGAAAGTACACCACCATCTGATACTTCATTGTAACATTTAATTAACGTTAAAATGCACGGTCTAAAATACCGTAGAAGTTATACATTCTAGGTAATATTAAACATGATGAACAAAAATGTTAATTAGAGCTATGACTTTGCCAAGATTTGAAAATCTAAGAAACTAAACCGTCAAAACAAGGTACAAATTTGATATTGTACACTTGAATATGCGACTGCTAACAATTAGTACCAAAAAGATTGCCTTTGTTGCAACATGTCTCCTAAAATGGCAATCTGCAATGTCGCATGTGTTCTTTGTTGAATAATACAGTCAAGATAGTTACATAATGAATAGATAATTACATATGAATTCAAATTGTAATGAACAAGAAACTTGTATGTTAATGAAAACAAAACTTGTTACATTAGAAAGATATATAATTACTAAAATTAATTTTTTTACAAAAGTTTTTATTTCTTATTTTTTACATTTAAAGCTGTAAAGCACTAAGTTAAAAATATAATGCATGAACATCAGATAGATATAATTATATGTAAGAAATATTATATGCAATAGTTTGAATATATTTAATGATCTAATTATTTTCTATAATTTATATATATATATAGATTTTTTACCTTATACAGAATGTTTTATCATAAATATTTTAAATATTCTGGAGATGAATTAGAATCGAAAATTACTAGGACAATGTTAATAGTTTGTTATTATTATGTTAATAATTTTTTTGAGTTAAGAGAGAGTTAAGTCGAGAAATAATCAAAGTTGGTCAATAATATCACATGAAACTTCCGCACTCAAGTTCGTACATGCGTATCTTCTCATCTGTTCTTGATTTTTATAATTTAGTTAATATTAATTTTTACTGCATAGCTAATATCCAGACACCAATAATTCTGGAATAATTATTAGTTAAGAATATTTTATAAACTTGACTTTAGATATGCAAATAAAGTTATATTCTGTAATTAGTTTTAATAAATAATTTTTTAAATTTTAATTAGATTTTGCTCTTACAACTGTTAAATGTTGTATTTGAAATTACGATTTACATATAGTTATGAAGGTATGTAAAAGCTAAAAATTGACAAATCGCGAAAAATAATGATTTTTTATATTTTCCTAGAGAAAAATCAAATCTAATAGCGTTTTCGAAAGTAGCAGGTTTAAGGGTCGCGCAGTAACAATGCGAAACTCCGATTTCAGGATCACCAATCTGACAAATAAATTCTCGATCTCTATATAGAGGTATATGTCCATATACGTACACACACGATTGAATTGCTCGCGTGGACGCACCGTGGAGAGGAAAGATAGAAAAGGATCAAGGATCACGTTATCCTTGTTCCTCTAGCGTATCGCTTAACAGCCGAGATACGGCCTGAAAATGCTTTTTGGCCTCTCGTGACAAAAAACAGTAATGCAACTAGGCTAACAAGCGCCCACTTTTTGTAAATTTTATATTTGTTTATGCACATTTATGCGTATATATATGTATCAATAATATCTAAAAATTATATATATGATTAAAAATTGTATGACGATAAATAATAACAGTAAAATAATAACTCACAGAGTGAACTAATATACAATATGTAAAACACGGGCACTTATTAGACTTGGCAATTTATTGCTTTTTTACTTGTTGCTTTTTCATAGATACTTTATGTGTTGTCAGCATGATAGAGCGACAAGGAGAGAACGATTACTACCAAACGTTTTAATTAGGCTACCAATCATCACCAAACGATTAGATAATTTTAATTATTAAGAAGTTAAAGTGGTCCGGCTAACTTTATGCAGCCAAGAATGCTTGGTTTTCCTTCACCTCTATTTTCTGTTGGCCATCCTGCTAATTTTAACCATCGGTTAATCTAACCAGACTTGGTGAAATTGGACCATAGTATACGTGACATATACTATAATATCGGGTGCACCCGGGTGGGGAATCGGAACACAGCATAGCATTGAAATCAATGGCAAAATTTTTCACTTTTCCGCCCTAGGGGAAAAGTTACATGAGTGAGGGTGCAAACCCATGGCAGCGGAAAAGCGTAACGCGGAACAAGAGCGGACCAATCGTGAGCGTTCTGCAGTTTTCGCTACGCTCACGATTGGTCCGCTATTGTTCCGCGTTACGCTATTCCGCTGCATGAGTTCGCACCCTGCGGCCGGATTCACACCTTGGCAGAAAAGCAAAAAGCAGAAAAGCAGGAGCCAATCAGAACTCGCGCTAAAAAAGCGGAATGTACTGCTTATTTTCAGCGCGAGTTCTGATTGGCTTCTACTTTTCTAGCACGAGTTCTGATTGGCTTCTGCTTTTCTGCTTTCTGCTTTTCTGCCAAGGTGTGAATCCGAAACCTCAGGGTGCCATTCCATGGAGCGCGGAAACGCGGATTAACGTAACGCGGAACGAGAAGGGAACCAATCGCGAGCGTAAAGTCTGTATCAGACTACGCATTGAAGATTGAAATTGAAGATCGAAGATTGAAATTTGACCAATCAGGACAAAGAAATTTTAGTCCCTTTTGTTTTGATTAGTCAAATTTCAATCTTTAATCTTCAATTTTCAATGCGTAGTCTGATACGGGCATAACGAAAACTGTAGAATGGCATCCTCATACCCAGACTCTTATTTCTAGGGACTCTAGTCTATCTCCACTACCGATACATTTCCTCCTGTTATTCTTTATTTACTCTATGCTCGGATCGAATTCTAGTTCTAGTTTCTAGTATCGTGGACACTGGCCTTTAGATAGAAGACCTTTTTCATTTTGTCGCTTGCGGAAAGTTTAAAAATAGTTGAATTCTCGCTGATGAAATGTGATACAAATTTCCTCGGATTTCAGTTCCCAGATTGTACAGATTGTTCATATCCTGTTTGGAAAAAATTTCTAACCGCGTACTCTTCCG